CTCCCGGGATCTTGGGCACACACGCACACGCACCCGGCGTGAGTTTTTTTAAGCCACCGGGTCTGGGACGCGAACCGTGGTCGACTACGTGGGAGTCCAGCGACATAGCCATTATGCTAACTGCTGGTTCCCAGAAATGATCAGTTCTTTACCTAACATAGTAGCTGACAAATATGGAAGAAAGGTCCAGTTATATCTCCTAAGCCCCAGAGATCCTGCACAGTCCAAGAAATCATTGAAGTTCTACAGAAAGGGGATAGAAATGCACACAGTAAGAAAGACACAGAAATCCGCCAATGCGAGCTTTGTTAAGCTACCTGCAAGGACATGCCCAAGACATGGTGCCAGATAAGTCTGCCTGTGTTGGTGGCCAACGTTCTGGGATCTGCCACCGGGAATGTCCAGCCTGCCATGGATGACATCGCCAGCTTGGCAGCAGCAGAACTACACCCCAGAGGCAGGGACTGAGAGCTTCATGTTGCAGAACATCCAGTATTGAACTGGTTAATAGAACAAGATAAAAAGATGAAAGAAAATGGAAGAGAAGGTTGTTTTGCAAAAACACTTGTAGAGCATGTGGGTATGAAGAACCTGAAGTCCTGGGTGAATATAAACCGAGGTGCCATTATTCTTTCTAGCCTTCTCCAGAGTCCTGACCAGGAAGTTGCAAACAAAGTCAAAGCTAGACTGACTGAAAAGCCTGATTCCCACATTGGAAAGAAACAAAAATCCTAGCAAAGGAATAGAAATTCTGCTTGAAAAACTGACTGCATAGGTGGACACAATTAAGAACAAGAAGGAGGGGCCAGCAGTTGATGTGGTGGTTAAGACAGTGGCCTTCCATGTGACTGACCGTGGTTCGAGTCCCAGACCCAATGGGTTGAAAATCACTCCAGGCACGTGTTCATGTGTGCGTGTATGCATGCATACCCAAAATCCCGAGAGGGCAGGGAGAAGGGACTGTGATGTTGTCACCCCCATGGGGGCTAATTTCTCACTTTCTCTCTCTCTTTCTCCGTCTCTTTGCTGTGAGTGCACAGGCTCTATGGCAAAAACCTAACAAAAAGAACAAGAAGGAATCATTTCTCCACTCTTCTGTTTTTTCCCTGAGCAAAAAAGAAGGGCTGAGGTCTACCTTTCTGGTAATTTGGGTGCTCTGCATCTGTTTTTCTTGACTATGTTTAGATTCTTATGTAAGAATCTATTTATAAAGTTGTTTCTACAATTAAAAACAAACAAAAAAAGAATCCAAGAAGAGAATGGAGAAGAAAGAGATTGTGGCATGGCCATCCCTCCTGGGGTGCCATTTCCCTCTTGCTTTCTTTCTGTCTCTCTCTGTTTCTGGCGCCCTAAGCAAAAACCTCTCCAATAAATACATGCAATAAAATAAAATAATTCTTAAAAAAAAAAAAACCAAAATTTAGCTCTTAAAAAAGACTCATGAGGGAACCAGCAGTTAGCGTAATGGCTGGG